TCATCTAAATAACGCCATTCTGCATTAAACAAATCATGCCCTTCTACTGGATGTATGTGTCACATAGACCCAAGAATACGGAGCATAACTGATCAACCATAATTTACTTTGCTCACCCTTTTCATTAACGACCACTGCACCCGTGTATTTCTGCATGCTTACACATGATTTTTATGTTACCTTGGCGTTATTTATCAATGCATTCATCTCGGTAGACGCTCAGTATATGACCCTCAGTTATTTTGATTTCATCGTATTCACCCCATCCAATCTGCAGGACCTGTCAAGCACTTGCTTTTATCCCGTGATGAATCATTTTTCATTGTTCATGCTCAAAGTGGGCCTGCGTGCTAAACCTGCCAATCGTCTTTGGTGGCAACCGATATTTCCTTCCAGGCGAGAGAACTTCCAACTACGTGCGAGCAAAAGGACCAGATGATCTATTACATACGTGCTTGGGACACTCATTAGGGTAGGAAGCAAAAGTAACTTTTGCAAGAGGAACCTGTAGCCTACACACTGTTTTCGTTCGTATACGATGGAGCACTTCAGCAAAATATGCCTCACATTCTAAGTGGCAAACCAAAGAGAGCTCATTGTGCGTGCCAGAGAACCGTAGCTGTGCTTCTTGGAAATTCCGTTCTCGTTCCATGCACACGTCGATGTGCACCGACGAGGATCTGGTCAAAATAGTGCTACTTATAGCTAACTTGTTCTTCGACAGTGTCTTAGCAAACCGTGACGGAAAACAGCCTGACCTATACGTCCATCAAAAATATGTATCCTCGTGCGTTCCTCAGCCAGCTTAGAGTGCAACGACCATTATGATGCACCGATAATCCTATACGCGGCAATTCGTTGTTTTCCTGACTTCAATAAAAGAATCACCTAAACATGATCCACAATGAGTTAGTTGGTCGCAATCAAGATACGCAATGAGCAGGACACATTGATACCCGCATAATGATCAATTGTTGTGAGAAGCGTTGTCCTTCGCTAGTTACTGGAATAACGTCAGGGGCGTTGACTGATGGCAAAGCCACCCTGATTTGATTGGCATACATGCTATCAAAAGCCATAGATTACAAATAAATGTGAAATCAATCTTGGAGTTAATTGCAATGAGAAGACAGCACCTAGTAGTTAATAGTTAGAGGTATTCTTAGCTATTGATAAATACCGTACTAGCAAATAGTGTGTCAGTTTAATATGCATGTCCGTCCATGTAACTGTCGCTACTCATAAGTATATTCCTAACAATTCCACGTTCCCAACAAAATCACGTGGTGTAATATTTCTAATATTATGTCGGAATATTCTGTTCAGACTCCAGTTTATTTGGTTGTTTCTATTAAACAGATCAAATTAAAAATCACTAGAGACTTTCAATACAAACAATTACTGACACCCACCGTATTTGGCACAGTCCTCATTCCACAGCTCATTCGCTTTTTGGCTCAATGAGCTAGTTGCTCTGCCATCATTGACGGTAAGCTCAAAATCACAAAATCATTTAAGAGGATTTAAAGTAACCATTTAAGATCTAAGGGTAATTCCAGGTTCGGTATTATGGTAGATGAGCACACATTCCGTAGCATCGCAACATACCAAATTAATCATGGCTCCCTGACCTGCTCACCACTTAGTTGCCCGTCAGTGTAAACCCTCTAGGAAAGGTGGAAAACGGGGTGCAAAATGTGAATACAATTCGGCCAAGTCCAATGAGTAAAGATTGCAAAGATTATCTAAATTAGGCGCACGGGATAATCCCTACAATGATTCGTAATTTCTACACGTGGAAACTGGCAACGAGAGCACCAGTTGGATGCAACTAAGGATAAGCGCTAGACCCAACGAATCTACCAACATTCAACGAAAACACACACTACAATCTCGTACTCTATGCTTGAAATGTTCCTTGAACAGGATAACATGCACTAGGTACCGCCACATTCTCATCTTCAGGGACTTCAGCCTACAAGATCTGGAGGTATCTGCATCACCCAATGAACAGTACACAGCAGATTTGCATGAAATTATCGCTAATATTCCCTTGTACAATCATGTCAGCAAGCCGACTAGATTCAGGACAGCAAACAAACCATCCATATTGGACCTTGTGCTCACGAATGAAGAGCTAATGATTGACAAGTTATTGATGAAGAGCCAATCAGGGCTAAGCGACCATGTAGGAATAGCGTTCAATCATGGGTATTTTGCAGAGTATCCACCTGAACACTCTGAACTAACACACACAACCACACTCTACCACATTATGAAAGAACTCGTCGAGGCATTCGCTCTGGAATTCTCGAGTAAAAGACTACTGAACAACGTTTGGACAGAGTTCGTTGAAAGTCTTATTGACATGGCCAATAGCGCATCAGAGACCAATCCCATTCGTTCCGCAGAAAGGCCTTCAATTCTAAGAAGCAATACTCGAAAATGCATGGCAAAAAGAATGCAGCATGGCGCGTCCAGAAGCTCAACTACGATCCGGAAAGTTAGTACCATTTCCTGATGCTTCGCAAACATTGGACCACACTTGTACGCGAGGACAAATTAACTTATCAACAGTGTCTTGCCAAGAAGTTCCTAGCAAGCAACAAAGTACTGTATAGCCATGTAAACAATTTGCCTAAACTAAAACATGACATCCCTCTACTTTTCACATCAGGCGGTTGATTAACAAGCGCCGAAGAAGTAGCTAATGACCTGCGGCTACAATACACCCCAATCATCAAACATCCCGCCTATACTTGTCCCATAACGTCAAGCACATTACCGACTCCATGGTTTAAACATGTAGTTTTTAACGCAACAATTGTCCTAAGGAAGTTACGATCACTGCGTAATAATAGCTCTCCGAGAGCAGAAAACATCCGCCTGAATGCACTGAAGGCTGTGGCCACCTAGCTAGCTGAAGCACTGTCACAACACTTCCAAAGATGATTCGCTGAACAGCAAGTTCCTGTCACTAGGAAGCGTGGCATTATAAGCCAAAATTTTAAAGGTGGTAGCTGTTCCTAACCTGCAATCTATCGCCTTCCTTTGCTCCAGAACGTGACGGAAGCGGTCATTACTGAGGCACTAATGGACCACCTGGAAAAATGTAACATCTTGCTACCGGAGCAGCATGACTTCCATCATCACAAGCCATGCACCACCACCACCCTGCTGATGACACGAGGTATTTGGACGGAAGTGGCTGATGGTGCGGTCGGTGTTGATTTCATCTACTTGACTTCTCCAAAACTTTCAACCGCCCGGATCACTGCATTCTACTTCACAGGCAACAGAGCTATGGAATCGGAGACCCTGTTCTTGATTGGATTGGCAACTATTTTCACCAACATAGGCTTCAGGTGCGTGTTATGGGATCACTCGCCAAGGCTACTGTGTGGTGCATTGTGTTGTCCTACATCGCTCGGTAATGGGATCGCGCACTTTCCTTGTGATTATCAACGAACTGGCAAGGATTTTCTCTTCTAATTTTCTGCTTTATCCGATGATGTCAAGATCCTACGGGCGACCAATAATAAGGAAGATCCCGATCCACTCCAACATTACCTAGATTGCATTTATGAATGGTCAGCTAGGAACCTACTCTAGTCGAACACAGTTAAGTGCAAGGTGATCCATCTGCGTCAGCAGTCGGTGAGCGTTTACAACCTTTGAGGCCGTACCTAGCAGAAGGGCTCTAAGGAGCATGACCTGGGTGTACCGGTACAGGACTATATCGCATGCTCAAAGCAAGCAGATAAGGTGTCAGGAACCGGTAACCAACACTTCGGCCTTTTCGCAGAGCGTTCGGTCGGTTTGAACTTTCAATCTTCCCTCGAACCTTTAACGCCTGCGTGCAACCGCAAGTGGAATACGCCATGGGAGTGTGACATAGAAGGCAGAAACTGTACCTCGTTGCTCACGAGGCTCCTATACGAAGGTTGATCAAATACGTTAGATGCCTCTTTCATCAACCGTATCACCTTAGAGTGAAATCTAAGAATGTACAGCGATTGATATCGGCATTTTGGGGGATCGCATATTGGTTTACTAGATTCTGAAGTACCCAACCGCATATGCCGCCCGCTACTGAAACTGAACCACAATACTAAACTAAGAGGTCATCATCGGAGAATGACAATATGGTATAGCCGGTTGTAATGCCGTAGAAATTTATTTTTCTTCCAAGTGTCAGCCTTGGAACGCTCTCCCAAATTAGGTCGTCTCTGTCCCCAGGCTGGCGATTCTTAAAAACGAGTTGAAGATGCGTTGTCCAATTTGCATTTCAGTTTATAACTTGTCAACCATGGGGCTACAAAATGCAGTCAGACGATGTATTACCAATGTCATAAACAATGAAGTTATAGATTTTTCCTTTTAATAATTGAACAGCTCCGCTTTGCTACACATATCTATGGTCAGTGCAGCCGAATGGCTTCCCAAATTACGACGAATTTTTATTTTCGCATTAATTTTCATCCCACGGGACTTGTTAAGCATTGCTTTTTGCCTGTAATACATCACTGTTCCATTGTTCCATTGTTCATCTCAATCACCGAGTCCGTCCATAATCTACTGTGTCTTCAAATACAGAATTAAAATGCAAGAAACCGACGCGTAGTGGATTAAGTAGCGTTGTGTTAGGCCATCGAATGCGTGAAATGTAACGAGAGCTTTCTGTAGTTGTGTCAAGTTTGACGCTCAGTCCAGGCAATGGTAACCAACTAAGATGTGCATAATCTGTAGACGTGATCAAGCTAACATCCTCATCATCATACGAAAGCTTCAGTTGTGCAGATTGCGATGGTAACTAGGATGGTTCAAATAGCGCGCATTGTTTTCGTTGCAATGAACAAAGGTTTAGCAAATATAGCGCAGCACCAATAAGGTAAAGTAGAGCTATGACAATGGATGACTTGATAGTAATATTTGATACACACCAAGTCAAAAATGACAAGCGAAACCGAGGCATTGAATGTATGAATACTTAATGGTCATTTTGAACGAGTTAGTCCGAGTTAGTCGTTAATATGTTTTCGTTAAGAATACATTGTTTAACGCAGTTGATAAGGTTTGTAAAACGCTGTTCTTCCGCCGATGGGTCGTCTCTGTTCACCGCATTGGTAGAAATCTCTCCTTGCGCTTGGCACGTCTGTGCACATGGTGTGGGTCGGTTTTGGGGGGTTGGTGATGCATCACAATTGAGCGTCAAAAGACCGAGCAGCTAATAATAGGAGAGAGAAATGTTTGATGCAATAGACGAAGAAAAATTTCGGATCGGATATTTTCCCGCGCTGGTCTAAAGTTTTCATGATCCATCGCGAATAATATCATAACTGCACGATACTAAGATTATTTCCAACGGTTATAAATGAGTGGTGACTTCTTGCGAATTGATACAGATTTAAAAGTAATTAGATTAGAAGGCGAAACTCGGAATAGTTACATTGAATAGTTTACATGGACCATTTCTAGCAAAGATTCACCTCTATATAGGTCAGTTCTCTTAACCGTGGAACTATACCGTCAGCATATAACCTTAAAAGTTACATCTTGTCCGGTGGTGGAAGATGTACGTTGTTGAATATTGCAAGGAAGATTTGAGACTAATGTTAATGCAATTGCTCACCAGGGCTGTAGCGAAGATAGCATTCATTGTAAGAAGATAAGTACACTAACGGTGATAACTTACCATCAGACCATGCCGCAGCGATTATATACCGATTGTATAGCATACGTCAAGGTCGTTTCTGCACAAACTCGGCGTTTGGTTGGCTAGACGGAAATAGCGGGAAAATGGAGGTCGAATACATCAACGACAAATAGCCAGCCGTCATAACCAACCAATCCCCTTCATATGAGATCAAACATATTTCAACCTATGAATTACAGAACTCACTTCAAACACAAGTAGAGCTTAATAATATGAGTGATATATTCCATTACTTGTTTCACGCGACACAGCCATTCCTGCATGATCAGATTTTATGATTCGATTTCATCATGACATCCATAGATAGTGTGTATATATCGAGCAATAAGAGGAGTAGTGCCATCGTACATGATAAAAAGGCTTAATTTCTGATGTGTTCGCTGTATTCAGACCACCAATGTGCCGCTTGGAGACATTGATTGAGATGAGGAACAATCCATAGTTCTTTCGTTGCATGTCAAGTGTGTTCAGGTTTCTCAGGTCTAGGTGATATGATATATTTCGCAGCATTATGATATGGCTGACACTTGTTGGGGATCAGCTAGAAGTCGTTCAAAAATCCAACTACTTAAGAAGTTGTATCAGCGCCCGTGGGATTGAAGATGAGATCACGAATCGTATAGTAAAATCTAGAGGCTCTTCTGCTAACCTTCGCCACTTATGGCACCGGCGCGATATCACTCTCTCCCTGAAGGGTGCAGTGTATAATGCAGCGGTGCGTTTCGCCCTACTGCACGGTTGTGAAACCTGGCCGCTTAAAGCAGCCGATCTGAAAAGGCTAGTTACGCACGACCACCGGTGCCTTCGTAATTTACCTCACATCTGGTGGGAACACCGAGTAAGCTATCTGCGTGTTCGACGCCTTGTTAACGGCACTGGAAAAGGAAATGAACCGCTCAGCACCGTCATTTCACACACCAGGCTCCGATGGTTCGGCCACGTGTTACGCATGCCAGCCCACCGCCTTCCGCGACGTGCGTTGTTTGCGCGCCGAGGCTGTGGATGGAAGGAGATGGTCGAGAGGAATGAAGGCCTTCACTTCGAAGCTGGCCTCGGTTGGAGCGTCTCGGCTCCCTGGTTGGTATCCAAAAGACGACAAACACGTTTGGCTGGATGAACTTGTCGATATGGCTAGCAGCCGACCTCAGTGGCGTTCGTGCTGTGAGTTTCTTTGTCCCACCCCATCCCTCTTAGCCTCCCTCTCCAACCGCGATCTCATTATTTAAACTTATATAATTTTGCATAGTAATTTTAATCGCTACATAGCAGCTGGCTGGTAGCTTACCGGAACAATGCCCGTCCTCTACCCATAGCTCAGCTACCTTGCACCTGTTGTATTTTATTCCCTTTTTTCTTTTGTTATTGCGGCACAGTAGCCGAATTCAGTGTATCGCGCCCATTGGGAGCCGGTGTCTGATTGCTCAGTTCATACGTCTTTCGTTTGTCCGTTTGACATACAGGGGTCCAATACTCTCCACAATGTCAGCATTGGGTTGCTGGAATACAATGCTTCGCCAGTATGAAGCGAGGGGCAGTGACTTTATTTAGTGGCGTGTCACATCCACCAAGTCACAGTGTTGTTAAGTGGACATATATGGCTTTATATAGGGAGAACGCTTGCCAGGCGAAAACGAGCCACGTCCTGGAACACTGCGATCGAACCATTCGCTGGAACAGGAAAATCCCTAACCACCCAGCTGACAACACGAGGAGGTTCTTCGGCAAGCCAGCCACATGCGGGGCACAAATGGTAGTGTGATTTCCATCTTCATCCACGGCGTATGAGGGTAATTAAAAGTGTTAAACTGCTGGCTGTCATGAGTCTGGCCTTCCATTCTCAATGTCATAGTTTTGTAGGATGAGGTAAGTGGAAAGGTGATTCGACGATTACAAACAACAGATGTCACGTCGTCCTGGCACTTAAAATCTGCCTGGTCGTAATTGGGTATGTAGAGAATTACACTTAACGTAGGTGGAAAATGCATATCGTGCGCCGGGCAGCCGTCATCTATGCAATTACACCGCAGCGAAAAATGATTCAATTTGATTGCAGTTGGGCACGTCTGTTACGAAGAATCGTCTTTGAATTGTGCAGTTTGGACTGGTTGCCACATGTCCGCAACCACATGAGTCGTCAGATGTTCCTACTCATGGATGATTTCAACTTGCCTCGAATACAGTGGCCTGAAGCGGAACTTCTCCCCGGCCACTGTGAAGTCGAGAGGAAGTTTACGGAGTTGCTATTTGAAACTGGGGCCACACAGCACATCAACCAACCGACACGCATTACTGCGCGCGCGGCTCCATCATGCTTAGACCTACTTTTGACTAGCAGTGAGCAGCGTGTGCATAACATCCAAGTCTTAGAGCCTCTGGGAGCGAGCGACCACTCGATGATCATAGGCAGCTTGGAACTACCACTGCCGTACTCTCCCCCGCTGGAGCCAGCCTTCAACTATTGGAAGGCGGACTTTAATGGCCTCATTCGAGCAGCGAGCCAGATAGACTGGTCTTTACCACAGGATTCATCTATTGAAACCTGTTGAACTATCATTAAAGAGGGAGTGAAATCGTTGTGCGCCCGATTTGTACCCCTCAAATTTCGAAAAGTTGGGCCAGTCAAACCACATTGGTTCGACAAAGAGTACAACAAACTGGCCCGTCGACGACGCAGACTGTGGGACAAGTTCGTGTTATCTGGCTCTGATGAGGACTACAATGCGTATAAGGTACAGCGAAATCGCTGCAACGACGCGAAAACAAGAAAACGCAGAAGCTACGAAGAGGAGCTTGCAGCCGCCGCAAAAACTGCTCCCAAGAGGATCTTTGCATACGTGAAGCGGCGCCTGAGGCCTGTAGCCAATGTCCCAGTGTTAGAAGGCTCCGATGGGCAGCCCCTAACCTCGAGTACAGATCGTGCGTCCGCATTGGCGATGCACTTCGCCTCCGTATTTGCAAGTGACCAGGTGTCTGTAACGAGTTCGACGAGTACCGCTCCAGCCGAACTTAACAGCCTGGACTGCAATATTGAGGATGTGCGCAAGCTTCTAGCAAATCTTGACGGGACAAAGCCTGCTGGGCCAGATGGTATACACCCACTGATCCTCAAGTCCCTATCGGCCATCATCGCGCCTTCTGTAACTGAACTGTTTAACAGGTCACTATCCACTGGACTGTTACCAGACGACTGGAAATGCTCAGTCGTAAAGCCTATACCGAAAGGTGGTAACCCAAGTAAAGTGGATAACTACCGGCCGATCTGCCTGACTGCTGTTTTGGCAAAGACGCTCGAGAAGATTGTGAAGAAGAACCTTCTGCAGCTTCTCGAGTCGAAAAACCTGTTGACCTCCGCACAGCATGGTTTCATGAAAGGTCGCTCGTGCATCACCAACCTACTGTTGACAAGGCACGAGTGGTTACAAGCGATGAACCAAGGCCATTCAGTCGATGTCATTTACATTGACTTCAGTAAGGCTTTTGACAAGGTTAACCATGCAGTGCTCCTTGACAGGCTGAGGATGTACGGTGTTGGTGGTTCGCTACACAAATGGATCAGAAATTTCCTTGTAGATCGGAAGTGGAGAGTCCAGGTGGACAACCATCTAACGGACTGGTATTCATCGAGCAGCGGCGTGCCCCAAGGCACTGTACTGGGGCCGATATTGTTTCTGATCCATGTAAACGATGTGCCTAAGCTACTCCAATCACCATGTGCGTTGTTCGCAGATGACTTGAAGGTGTGGAGAGTAATCCGCACACTCAATGATTGTGATTTACTTCAGCAGGATCTCGACAGCCTCTCAACATGGTCTGCAGAGGTTAACCTTCCGATCAACCCTGCTAAGTCGCAATTCATGAGGTTGGGTAAATGCGAGCACAGCCGAACGTACACAGTGGCTGATCAACCGCTGCATCCCGCGTCTTTCGTGCGCGACCTCGGTGTGCTCTCACGCTGCGACCTAAAGTCCATTGACAACACGAATAGGCTGTACCAAAACAGCCTTCGGATGCTTTGGGCGCTCAGGCGCAGCTTCAGCACTTGGTCCGAAGAGATTGCCACTCGCCTCTTCGTCTCGATAATACGACCAATGCTAGAGTACGGCTCTCCCGCATATTGTCCCATCACGCTGGGCGAGGTAGAAAAGCTTGAGCGGGTGCAGCATGTAGCCACTAGGCTGATTCCCAACTTACGAGGTATGCCATATGAAGACCGATGTAAGAAACTAGGGCTGTACACCCTAGCATATCGTCGGCTGAGGGTTGACCTAATCATGACGCACCGGATATTACATCTGAGTGATTACCCCATGTTGAGACAACTGCTTCATCTGCGCACACCAAGCGGCACGCGAGGACATCGGTACAAACTTATCGTACCGCAGTTGAAGCGGGTAGCTCACCAACACTGTTTCGAACGTAGAGTGGTGAATACCTGGAACAACCAGACGCAGCCGGTAATAGAGGCGAATTCAGTGGCTGAATTTAAGAAGCTTCTAGACAAACACTTTGCAGAGGCAAAATATAAAGAGCGAAACGATAATTAATAGTTTGATGTCCAAAAACGACAATTGATGAAGCTACACTGAGTATGCTCTCCTCGCTGCTTCTAATCAGTATCAGTATCAGTATCAGTATTACACAACGACGCGTATACGCATTGGTTCCTTGGGTTGTAAAGAGTACATTGGAAGTCCTTTATCAGACCCATCAGTTCGCGCTCACTGTATGGATCATGTGAGTGGATGTGGCACAGTGTACCACAAGAGAGCATTGCGGTCACAATCAATACAGCCAGATGCATACTTGTACATCAAATAGATGTCTAGCAACCGCTGGAAACACGTCATTGTCTGCCCACTGACGACTACCTCAAGTAAACTGTCACAGTCATTCACCACACGCGTTGACAAAGTGACATCAGAGCGAACCCAATGCCTCCTTGAATTAAACAGCTTCATACCGTTGAG